TGAGCTCCAAAAATACGAAAGGGAAAAAGATTGGCAGCCACACAATGTTATTAGGGTTTCTTGGTTAGAGGATTTTACATCATACCGAAGGAGAACGAGGAGACGCAACAGGCGGGGTTTTTAATTTTTTGGATTTCATTTCCCCCATTGCTATTAAAAAGAGGAAAACGCGCGCTCATAGAGTAAAATTATAAAACGACACGGTAACACGACACACTTTTTAGGATAGGTGCCCTCCGTGTTTTTAATTTTTTTTTTGTTGGACACTAGTTTTAGGGCACACAAATGCGTGTCCTCTATCCTTCAAATTTTTCAAAACTGACATTATGTTTTAGGGCACGCACAAATGCGTGTCATCTATCAGTGCGTGTCATTAAAAGGCTGTTTTCCAGTAGTGTACGTTGTTATAATCTTAAAATATACCGTTATTTTATATAAACATCTTTAGTTGATTTAAACTAAAAAAGCAAGTATACGTTTGTAGTTGGTTTAAAGCAAAACAACAAATTTAGGTAAAATAAATTAAAAAAATATTTTTAATGTATTTAAAAGACACGTTTTCCTGTAATGTGTTATTAGGTTGCTATAATATGTTTTAAATATATTTAAATACGCGCGGCTGCTTGGTCTCCAATAAAATTTTCAAAACTTTTACTTTAGTTATTTTTTCCAAAGTAGAAACCAGGATTATTATTATATATTTTATTATTATATATATATATTAAAGTTATGAAGAAAAGTAACAGTAAAGATGTAGCATCTTTGTCTCTTTTAGTCCCTCTACTTCAATTTGTTATTTTTGCCATTCTAAGTCCCTATATTTTGCTGTATTTGTCACTTTATTATTTTTATTTTCTTTCCATTCTTCGTTATTGACTGGTCAATGGGTTATATTTGGTGGACACGTGGGTTGGTTGTCTACCAGGGTTACCAGGTGTGATCCACCCCTTCATTCAGAAGTGATACGTGTTCTGTACACGTGAGCAGCCACCGCCCCAAAAATCCATTTGTGTCACCGACTTAGATGGTGAATGGTATCCAGGTTACTCACTCAACCATGGTCACCGCCTCTCCATAGCATTCTGTCTTCTTCCGACCGGATGTTAGTTGCTTCTTCCTCATACGCTCCTCCAAACCGCTGTCTCACCCCATTACTGTCATAAGTCTCATCACTACCCACCTTCCCCCACCGTATGTTCTAATAACTCCGATTTACGTTTTAATCTTTCTTCTCCTCGCGAACTCAAGTTCCGATGTGCGTTTTCTTTGTTACAGGTGGTAATTGCATCAGGTTCGACTAATAATTCTCCCAAACCTAGCGACGTTCATCCAGTCCTTCCACCGCGAGAAGATTCTCCACCGCCTTATCTCAGCTTCGACATATCCATCACCGTCCGAGCAGTTACCGGTGATTGCGTGGTCCAACACCGTCTCCACTGTCTTCCCATCTTATCTATACACGAAGGGTTTATTTTCGGATGCTTTATTCCAAAAATCCTACCAGATTTTTTATAGATACGGATGGTGTGATTTGTAGGTGGTGGTTGTTCTATGTGGGTTTTTGGCTCTGAGGTTATCTGAAACCCGTTGAAGCCAGCATCTTCCTCCTGAAAGGGCAGCGGCGACCTGATTAGTGTTGTCGTTCTTTCTTGATTTCTGTATTGGGATTAATTGATCTGCTTTCTTTATATTTTTGGGCTTAATTGATTTTCTATCTTTTTTGTTCTGTTCGTTTCCAATTTCTTGAACCCTAATGTTCATACGGTTTTCAGTTGGTGATTATTTTTTTACAGCAAAGGTTGACGTCGTTGGCTGATGCTCCTTCTCATCGACCCCACCTCCTTCGTATCAAATTGGCCGCTCCATTTCAATCGTCAGGTTTGTTTGATTATTTTTATAAATTTTTTTCGGGCTGAAATTGAAGTCATTGCAGGCTTCAGGAGAGATAAGTGAGATGTAACGAGGATAAAAGGGAGTTAAACCACACTCCAGGTATGAATTGTTCCCAAAATTCTCCCCTCTGCAAATACTCAAATAATGTTTGATATGAATTGATCTTCCTTCAACTCAACTATTTCTTCTTCCTACTGCTATCTGAATCTTCCTCTATGTTGATATTGATTTATTTTATTTTCTATTTTTTTAGTTGATTATCAGTGAGTAGGTTATTGGTGTTTTAAGTAAAGAAAGCGGAGATCGGGTGTGTTTGTTCATCTTAGGTCAAATTTATGGAGCAAAAGCATGAAGTTCATCAAAGGGGGTTAGTTGATTTAACTTTTCCTCTTTTTTTTTTTCGTTTACATGTTGTCTTTTTCAATTCAAAGATCCTGTTAGTAATAGTTGAAATTTGGAGTCTATTGGAAGCTATGAAAACCGTTGGTAGGTCATAGGTGGTACATGTGACATAATAGTATGAGAAAAAAGTATAGTTTTGACTACCATTCTAGAAACCACTATGTTACGTAATGATAGTTATTTATTCTTTTTAAATATAAAACATATACTTTATATATTAACGGTTTAGTAAATATATAACATGTTTTTATCCATTCAATTTCTTACTTTAGTGAGTTCTTAATGTATTTTTCTTAACTATATTTAAAATTTTTCCAACTACCCGCTAGAGTTAAGCATCTGTTTCAGATACAAACCTTAGAATTAGTTTCAACTATATAGTTAAGATTTATAGCTTGATGTAATTACACCATGCTTGATGTAAAGAGTGCTCAAAGTGTTGGTAATTACAAGAGAGTGAAAGAAACATGTGCTTGACGAAGAAAGGAAGATAGTTTTTATGTTTTTTTTTGTGAAATTGAATAGGGTGTCTTGGTTACTGAACCAAAGAAAAAAAAGTAAAGAAAATCTTTTTGATTCAAATGCTGCTCCTTCACTCCCAATCTTCTCTTAATGACGAACCAAAAGAAACCAAAGTAAAGAAATCTTTTTTTGTCTGCAATTCTACAAATGACAGGTGCCTGGGAGCCAACATATCCATATATGTTATCAGCTCCTTTGTTTTTTTGTTTAAGTGTTATAACTTTGGACTTGCTCCTCAATATATGTCAATTTTTGCAGGTTAGGTAGGCATGCACCTTCAATTCAACAATACATGGAATAAAATTTTCGGTTCAATTTCTTCAACTCCTATCTTTTTAATTTTTTCTTTTGCTTCTTCCGATTGAGTGATTTATTTGGATGGGTGTCTAGGGTAGTGAATCCCTTGGGATGACTGAGGGAAACTGATGGATTCGGCAAGAAATTGGTTTTACAGGGAGAGTCTCAATAAGCGATGGTGAATTCTTGGTTTTTAAACATAATGTACAGTTTAAAGCATGTGTTTTAGGTCTTGATTTTAACGGATGCCCAATTACTTTTTCCATTTTTAGGCTTACAACTAACTTGACATCATTCCATATTTGGAATTGGTGCAGGTTTTTCTTCAAAATCAGTAACTTGTATTATGCTATTAAAGGGCAATTTGGTCAATCTTTGTTTAAGCTTAAAGATTGCAAGTTATTACATGGTTTTGTGATCATGAAAGGCGGAAATTGGAATAAAAAAAGAAAAAGGGAAACAACAAAAAAAGTAAAAGGTTTTTAAACAGTTTTAGACAGGTTTGGTTAAGGCTCCAAGGGCATTTTTCTTTCTTTTTTACCATTTTGTTGACTGCGAAATTGATCTGCGTAATAAGGAGACTCCTCAAGTTTTTTCCGAGTTTATCATTGGGCTGTTCATTTCTCTCAATTATCATTTAATGGATCAGGGGCATTTTCATCAAACTGCTCTTTTTCTGCTTACTGTTGTTTTTCACTTTTGGCTAGCTAGCAATTGGTTTGAAGTTAATGTTATTTAAAGCCCGACTTAATGCATTCAGATGCAAACCATATACCTATTTGTCTTTCCTTTTTTTTTTTTCTGTCTCAGTTAACGTTTTTGAGAATGGTAGATCAATTACTAGCAATGTCCTAATTGGCAAAACATGTCCTTTTCCCTTTGTGGTGAGAAAATTCTCTTTTAAATTGTGGAATACATTTATTGTTATTATTTAATTTGAAATAATGTAATATGACAACATTTTCTCTCCCCTTTTGTTATGTGCAGCTTGCTAATTTTATAGGTCGTTTCCACTGGTTAACATGTCCCAGAAAGGTAGCTTTCTTTGTTTGTAATTCAGTTTATTTATTTATTTTTTTAATTGTATGGATTGGTATAATGGAATCGGGGATGAAATTGTTCATTTCATTACAGAATGGAATGTAAAATTGCAAAACAGTATATTTTTTACTGTGTAATTTTTAATGACAATTTTTGTTAAAATAAAAGTAATAAAGATAATTGATTGGCCAATTTGCACCATATATAAAGAACACTTCACAATGATGTTTAATGCGGTAATTGTACTTACTTTCTTTCGGTTAATAGCATATTTTTTGTGTAGGGTCAAGGAGAGGTTGCAAAAGAGGGTGGTCGTGAATTTTCTCACAAAGGTAAAGGGATGTTGGATCGATTGGAGAACAAAGAGGTTGTGGGGTTACATACACATTATTGGATCAACGGTTTTATTTGCTCATTCATCAACTGCTAAGGGACTATAGTTTTTTTATGTTTTTCATTACTATTTGTGTATGCTATATCTTTGATATGGTATGACAGGCTTTGAATTTGGTTTCCGGTTTCTTTTATAAAGAGATTGAGTTTTTACTCTGCGTTTGACAAAAACGTGGTAATCAAGCTAATGAATATTAAACGCAGTACCATTTAACCATAACAAAAAACCAACATTAAAGGATTCCGGAAAAACGACATTGAAAGCTTCTGACCCCCGCAAAGCGGGGGACACTTTTCTAGTTTTATATATTAAAGAAATGAAAGTTAGCAACAGTAAAATCGCTCCCTTTTTGTCTATTTCAGTCCCTGTAGTTTTCGTATTTCTGTTTAGGTTTATTTTTTCAATTTAGTACCTTAAACAGTACATCGAAAGGATACTGTTCATCGGTTACCACATACTTACGCCTTTTACTTCCGGATCCTTCCACCGTCTTCCTTTTATCTCCCACTGCTTCTTCATCTCGACCCTTCCACCCTCTGTGAGGGTTTCTCTGCAAGAAACCCAATTTCAAGTTGCAATCTTCAACCACTCCACAAAGGAGTGATTCTTCTTCAAATCCCATCTCAAGAAGTTGTTTCTAGCACTCCCAAATCAAAACCCCAAATTATACAAAAAAATGCCTTCATTAGAGATCGAAATTTTATCAGTCTTTGACGTCTTTAGCGCTTCTGCTTATGGCGATCTGCTGAAACTGCGAAAATTCGTCGAAGATGATGTCGTTTCTCTCTCTCAACCTGATGCAAATGGCTATTACCCCCTTCAATGGGCGTCCGTCAATAACTTCCCCGATGTTGCTCAGTACATTATCGAGGTATGCTTTCATCGGTTACATCCATTCTCAAATATGGGCTACTTTTGTTGGCGATGTAGCATGGTGGGGATGTGCAGGCGGTTGACGGTGTGATGCAGACGGCGTTGCATTGGGCGGCTGTTGGTGGTTCAGTCGCAGCAGCAGCAGCAGATGTGTTGTTGCAGAATGGTGCTATTCTGTCCAACAAATACTCTTCTATTGATTTATGAGATTTGAAACATTTGCCCACCAACTGTTTGTTAAAAGTTTTACTGATTTCTCATATTTTTTATGTCGTCTCTAATTAATACTGATCATCTATTGGTTTATGAGATTTGTTCAAACAAACAAATCAAAGAATGAAACATTGGTTTTTGTTTTTGAATCCCAGGTATTGAGGTACACTTCACTCTATGGGAAATACTCTTCAATATTAAGGGCAAATATGTCCAACAAATACTCTTCAAACATTGGTTTTACACTGCAAGGTATGGAATTATAGATAGCTAACATTCGTCTTTGTTTTAACATTCAGTGTGAATTTAATTTCTTTTAGTTGGGTTAATTAGCATGTAAGAAATGAAGCCTTTCAGAATGGTAAGCATACAGAAGCAGTAGATCATTATAGTGTTGCAATATCAAAGAGTATAGAATCACACTCATTTGCAGCTGTTTGTTTCTGCAATCATGCTGTTGCAAACCAATATTTGGGTGAAGTCATTGATGCAATTGGAGATTGCAGTATAGCTATAGCTTTTGACACAAGTTACCCAAAAGTACAAATTCATTCGTTCTTGGAATTTCGGTTACCGACACTACACCAAAGTACGTCTCTACATTCCACCTTTTTTAATGGGTTAATCAGTTAATCTACACGACTAAATTTAGTTTGGAATATAAGGGTAAAATGCTCATTTACTTCCTAATCATTCTACAGAGCAATATTGTGCATATCGTGCATCCAACAAAACTGAAGGCTGCAACTTGATATTTTTTTTAGCATTTTCCATCCGTTTTGCCTCCAAACTTCCGTCAAATTATATGCTGAAAGGATGGTAAGTATGTAGAAAATTGTACAACTACTTTTAGTGACAATTCATAACAAAACATTTGTGACTGTTCTGTCTCCGAACAGGTGGATTAAGATCTTTTGACAGTTGTTGATGTTCCTTGTGCTACAAGAAGTTTTATCGATTTGAGATGGACTTGGATTAACTTCCATGAGAAATTTTGGTATCAAGAATCATATAACCAGGTCTGTTCTATTTTTAATTCATGAGATTGTCTAATATCAGCCCTAATTGTTTTTCTGTTTTATAGTTTTGGAATTAAACAGGAGGTACAAAGTTTGCCAAAATATAACCAAGTCTGGTCTCTCTTTTTAAAAAAATAAAAATAAAAAATAAAATAAACTTCTCATGAGTCAGGCTAACAATATTTTTTTAAATTGAAATTTTACCAGTCTTTGTCTCACATAGTGAATTTTTGTTTTCAGAATCACTGGTAAAATGTGTTTTCTGGCTTTGTTTCAACAACCATGAGCATCAAAGTGTTGTCAACTGCAGTTGTTGGTAATTATAATGGACCTCTACAGGTCGTTAGCAACTTTGGTTTCAATGTTGACTGAATATCTAAAAATCTTATACTAATTTGTAAATTAATCTATAACAAAATGATTTCGTTAAATAATTTGACAGAACATGATTAAAAAAAATTCGTTTTTGTTATATAACTTAATAGCAAGGGTATTTGCAAAAATGAGCTTTTGGAATATTGGAATATGATATATAACCAGACTTTCACATCAATACAGTACAGAACAAACTATAAGTAATCCAAACTTTCGCTAATTATGTATCTGTTTATAACTTTCCTTCAAATTATGCAGGAGCGGTAGAAGAATCCAAAGTATTTATCACATTCTCCTTAACTAGCGGACTTAAATATCATGTCTCTCAGGTATGTTGAACTTATTTCTTTCTTGAACTTATTTCTTTCTGAATCTCTAGACTAAAAAAGAATACAACTGTAATTGAAGCACTCTGCCACAGCTCCAGTTGTGCAAATGTTCCTTCCTGTTGATGCTCATGTTCAAAAACTATAAAAGTGTATTAATAGTTGCACCTGTGAAATCTGATGAAGAATCCAAATCCTAAATTGGTGATGAACGGTAAACAAAGTTAATAGAGGTATAAAAGTTTTTTTGGATTTGCCTTCTTAGTGTTATTCATTTCATATATGGAAATAAATAAAAATTAAAAAGATTGATTATAAAATTTTACAATAAAGAACTTTTTTTTTTTGAAGTTTCAAATTTTCTTTTTACCTGTTTATTTTGACAAGAGGAAAGAAGAATGTGTTTACCAAAGCATCAGGTTCATGATATGAGGAAATAAGAATGTCTTTACCACAAGGACTCTTTTACACGGTTATTATTATTCTTATTATATATAAGAGCTACAAAACAACATATTTCCACTTCGCATTTATCGTTTCTTCAAAATAATAATAATAATATTTTCTTTCTCTGGATAAATGACATACTTTTAGAATATTGATAAGCTTTTTTCATTAAACTCTTTCAAAATGGCCACACCATGAAATGAGACCATTGAATGACTAAAACGACCCTTATTGATTTGATGTGTTTTACGTGTTTGTAATTGTGTGCATTGAAATGTATAAGAAAACTACGGGAGTGGTTATACTTATGTAGGAGACACATGTTGATGATGGCAGGACATATGTCAAATAATAATGATCGTGGGTTTGACTGGTACGCTTACCGGAGACATAGGCCAGTTTTCTGAATTGCAGATTCTGTAAGTTTTTCATTCAAATATATAGTTTCGTGTAGAACATTTTTGAAATGGAGTAAGTTAATGTGATAACCGAGACTTTAATGACAACACTACCAATAGATACTAGAAATATTTTTTTGTACAACTTTAAAACAAAAATTTAGTTTTCAGATAAAGATCCACAAAGTTGTGAACAAATTCAGGTTTTAAGTACTCTGAGAACAAAAGGAAATATAGGATTTATGTGAATACGTGAGATGTTCCAAATTACTCTGATGAGATGTTTATAGCTTATATACTAATAAGTTGTTTGATAATCTCTAACGCCAGACCTTCAGGACTACTGAGCACCACCTTTGGACCGGTCGTTGCAACCATCAGACCACCTAACATATTCATGGTTTGTTCATGTACTATTGATTTTTTGTTTTTTTTTTCTTCATGCTTTTTGTCATAAAAGTAAACCAAGTAACTTTGATTGAAACAGCCTCTTTAGCTTTTTTTTTGAATGATTACAGGTATATATTCATACTGTTTGAGGATTTTGGATTGGACTACTTTTAAGATTTCTTACCCTTTCATACATAGGTATACAAGATTTGATAAGAAGCACGAATCATAAATTTTTCAGCTGGGTTTATTAGTTATTAGTGCAAAAAAGATGGAAAATAACAAGGCAACCACATGAAAGCGAACAGTACAAGTACGTTTATTATAGCATTCTATTTTAATTTTTCTTGCAAACCATTGTAGTTTGCAAAATCCATTGAATTATAGAAGCATAAATTTCTTTATGCGTTTCGAAACAGGTTTGCTAATTTTACTAATAGTTACTAATTAATAATAAGCATGAATAGGTTTGCTAAAAGATATCACTAACGTGAGCTTTGCTACTTCATGCCATGAGTAATCACAAGAGTTTCAAACCAAAAAAATCAAAAAACAAACTCCTTCTAATCTTTTGAAACTGCTATTGTAGGAATGTTGTGAAAGACTTATCAATTGGGACAATATGAGTGCCTGCATTTTCCATGATGTCAAAGGGTGTAAATCTTTCGATGTGTTTGTGGGGATCTTTTCCAAATAATTTTTAATCAATTTCAAAGAAATTCAGAAAATTCTAATTCAGGTCAACAAATTAACCTTATTTTTAAAGGCAACACTTCTTTTAAAATAATTATTTTCTGACTATTGTTAATGTAGGTTTTTGACAGAAGTGATTTGATTCTGACGGGAGTTGGAGTTTTTGACAGAAGTGATTCCATCAGTGCTTTTGAATTGATTTCTCTGTGTAAAATGCTCAACCTCTGGATTCTTTTTGACAGTTAGTACTTGATTTTTGTAGTTTTGAATTTGGCTGGATTTGACAAGTAATATAAGTTTGGACGATCTGGCTCCTAATGATAGTTAAGACTTAATAGTATTTTAATATGTCACATGTTTGGTTGGTTGAAACAGATCTTGATTTATATTACCTTCACATTCAGGTACGAAATGGGTTATCGCCTTATCGGTAAGAAATAATATCAAGATTTATATTACATAACGAAATATTCACATTTTGTGGATGATATCTTTCAGTCATGTGACGAATCTAATAGGATGATACGTTGGAAAAGTTATAAACAAAAATCATAAATTTCTATTATCTATTAAAATTATACGAAGACCGGCCATTAACATTAGCTATTTGATTAAACTTAATAGTCTTAAATCACATTTATTAACGCTTTCAAATAATACCATATAATATAAATAAAAAAACACCATGAAATATTAATTTATTAAGGGGCGTTTTGTTTTTGCTTTCTTTATGCAGCAAAGGTGTTTGAGGTTGGCACAGTTGCAGCCCAGTTAAGCCTCTACTTTTTCATCTTTCCAACAGGTATCACATAAGGTGCGATTTGTGATTAAATAGAGAATGAATGAGATGACAACAACCCTTATGTATGCTATGTTGCTATTTGTAGAAATACTTTTTTGCTAAACAATATATTACCTCTTTGCCCTCCGGACCCATTTATGCGTGTGGAACCAAAACATGAAGAGTTGAACCGGGTTCATCAAAATGCGCTTCATTGGACTGATGTTTACTGGGTTTTTTTGCATATCTTAGAACAAAAATACTAAAATAGGCCAATGTATTTTCATTTTAATGTTTAGCTTTATGTAATTTGGATCCTTTTATCAGCAAAGGACAATGTCCTTTATTTTTATTATTTTAAGCATCAAAATTGTAAAAGGGCGAATTGCAGAGAATAGCAACATATTTAACTGTGGCTACCAATTAAGACAATCTACTATACATGTACACAAAAACAACACCTTCCAACCCCCGCAACGCGGAGGAACGCATCTAGTTGTTATTATTATTCTTTTTTTTGGTATCCCTTTATAATTTAATATAAAAGCATGTTAAATTATTTGGTTAAATTAAAGATAACAACTTTTTTTTGCCAAGCAAGTCATATAGATTTTTATACTTGTATAATAAGTGCGTATGATATATGCGGCCGTTTGTTTTTGAAAATAAAAAAGACAAATTTTATTTATCAGTGTTACTATAATATTAAAATACTAGGTGTAAGATCCATATATTATATGGTTTCATTTAAAAAAAAAAAAATTAAATATGACGTTCTAAACATTTGAGAAGTTTGAATTTATAAGAAAAATTAGAAAAATAATGAATTATTAAAATTAAAGTGTTTTTTTTCTTTTAAATTTAAACAAATAATTTAGATAAATAAACAAAGGAAGGGGTTTTAATTTAGAAATTTTGAAATTAAAAGGAAAGTCCATTATTGAAATTGATATGTATTTATTATTATATTTAGTGCAATTAATACATTTAATTAATTATTATATAAAATTTAATAAAAAAAAACAACCACAAAATGCCATGTGGAAAAGATTTAGTTGAAAATAACCACAAAATGATATGTGACGAGATCAATGAGAGTGACATATGACAAAAAGATTTTCATTTATTAGAGTAGATTTTCATCTATGTTTTCAAATAAAAGTGGAATTGAAGTTTAAGAAAGAAAAAAAACATTATGATCTATTGAGGTTATATGAATCATAATGAAGCCTCTAAAACATTCAATCTGATTTCAGTAAACAAAAGAGTAACTATTACACAAATTAGACGAACCTTCACACATTGTGCAAGAAATATATTGCAAAGTTAAAATATTGAATTCATATGTTATTTAGAATAACTTGAGGACGTTTTGATCATATGATGTTGTAAGTTGTAAGTAGAGACAAACCAAACAATTATTTTAATATGGATCAAAATGAAACATATCCTATACAATTAATACTTCAATTAAAAATTTAAATTCAATAAATATTTAACTAAAAATACAATAGATATTGACTCGAAATGAATGCTTATATTCTTAAATTGTGTATTATTTTGTAATTATGCTATGACTAACTAACAAAAGTTGAACTTATTATGCTAACTTTAAAACATAAGGAAACACATTTACATTAATAAGCTCAAAATATAAAATGTAAGAGAAAATAAACATAGTAATGATAATACTAAGTTTCTTATGTAAAGCATATTAAAAAGAACTAAAATATATGAATTTCATTAGGTATCCAATATTCCTATATATGAAAAATATTTTTCATAACGTTTAATAACGTTTAACACCGAAGCTAATTTAAATGATATTTTAACTAATAGTGAACTGAATAAGAAAAAACAAAAAAAGTAAAACTTCAAAGATCAAAAATAAAAATAGAAACATAAACAAAACTAAAAACTAAAATTATATATAATGTCAAATATTTACATATAGAGCTAAATAATTATTTTTTAGATATCTTAAGGGTTAATATAATGAGATATAATGCAAATTATTTACTATTTAAACGATAATGCGAATGTTAGAAACTTAAAAAAACATGAAACAATAAAAGGAAATAAATAATAAAAATTAAACCCATATAGTTATTAACTTTTTCATCTTCAAAAAACTTTAGTGATTACAAAGAAACCCATTTACAATAACATAGATTGTCTATCTAAAATAGTCAAAGAAGAACACATTTTTACAAAGAAACACATTTATTTGGCGACTTTGAAATTCCTAATAGCGTAGACCTCTTTTTCTTTCAATATAGTCTTGTACTTGATAATATGGTTCTGCGTGATGAAAATCTGAATTGATTTACCCTAACAATATGTAGACACACAATTCAAAGATTAATTTATTTAGCATATCATATGTATACATCTATCACTAATAACTAAAAAGAAAACATAAAATAATATATATACCTTATCATCAAAAAATACCATCTCCAACCCCATTATATTGTTTTCATTTTTATGATATATCACTTCTTACATCATACACAATTACACCTGGATAACTCAATCATATTTCGATGGATTAAGCTTACTTATCTTAGTGTTGGAACTTGAAAGTGAACCTCTAGCAATCACAAGTATTGAATATTCGAAGTCAGCAAGTTCCGAAGTAGAGTTGGAGTCCGAAGTGAAGACCATTCTGAGATGGAGCAAAGATCTGAGATTGTTTGTCTGTTTGTGCATTTATCATTTCTTGTCTTTTATGTGATGTAACATTTCATAGGACTTAGCTTTTTGTATCAGTTGGATAATCAATTTTCAGAAGTTGTTTATTATACAGTCCTTAGTATGAAACGTAGTTTGTACGATGTACCTCCTTTTCCTATATAAGGAGTGTTTTTAATGACAATAATGATACAAATTGTTCCTCCAAAGATAACAAATATTTCTCTTAACTCTCTTCCACTTTTCTCTCATGTCAAAACCTTCTTTACATTCTTCTTCATTTATTGTCTTTACATTTATCATACTCATAGTTTATTCATTAAAGACTTGTGTACTTTGTTGAACATTAACTTCAAGTCTTAACTGGTTTTACCAGACTTGACTGGAACACCAATTAAGAGCAGACATCGATCTTTTGATTAACTCAAGGTTTGATTTTTCAAACATTGTCCTTGCACATTGATTCTTGTACTCACATTTGGTATCAGAGCTTGAGTGGTTATCCTTTGAATCAATAAGAACAGATTATAGTTGATTCAAAATTACTTTGGTATTTCGATCATTTATGTGTTCAGGATAAAAGTTCTTCTATATACCGCTTCTGATCTTAAATCAGAGATGCAATGGCTGCTCCCAATTCTCAACAAATGTATTCAATGCAAATAGAAATTAGCGTGGGTTGCCCTTCTCGTGCCCCATTGCTAGTTGTTTGTCACACCCCCAAACCGGAGCGGCGGAAACGTCCGGGGGTGAATGACTTCATGTTAAGTATCACAACACATGCATCATAGTAATCAAAGTACAACAACCATTGCATTAATAATGTATAAGTTTTACATAGTGTTCAAGTCATTCTATATATGACATCAAAAGTAATATAGCAAAAGATAGAAGACATGACTCTATACTGCTCCGTCTTCTCAAAATCCCGGGGATGTACCTGTCTACTGGTTCCCTAAGAATACAAGTATTTTGAAAAAGAGAGTATCAACATTTAAGTTGGTGAGTGCATAAGTATTTACGTTTAAAAGTTTGTTTTCTGTTCCTTGAAATAGTGAATATGTTTACTGTTCCAGAAAATCCAATATTTTCTATTTTTACTGAAAAGTAGTTTTAATACCATAAAACCGTTCTGTATAAGTGTTGTTGTACTATAAAATAGTGTAACATAGTTTTAATTCACAATAAAACTATAAAAAGAATATTTTCTGTATTGTTTATGTTTTCCAAGTTCTGTAATTGTACTCTTTGAAAACCCTATAAAAGTGAGTATGCTTGGTTCCACCAGTTGTAATTGTATTTTGTAATGTAATATTGTAATCGTATTATTGTAAAACCAATACTTTGTATTCGTACTCTTTGGTTTAATTATTTATACATTAATCGTATTTGTTCATATCTTTTTGTGAGTTATTATAACCATGCTGTGACTAGAAGGCCTGATACGACGCTTTGTAGGCGTCGAAACTGTAACGACATTTGTCACTCGCAGGCGTACCAGCCTAACTATAGCGAACACTATGAGTGTGGAATTGTCAGTCCCGTATAGATCTATACACATTTGTCTCGCTCTCTGTCGGGAGATTCTGGTTATAATATCATGACTTTAATAGTATTGCCTAAATGAATAAGCAACTGAACGTTGTCTCACAAAAACCATATTGACGATTACGTATATAATAATGATGAAAAGTCATTTTGAAATAAATGAACTGATAGTATGATCTTTTTCTAGTATACTTGAATGTAAAGTATTTGTACGAGAGTATACCGTTAAACTTTGTATAACTGATTAGTGAAAATAGTATGAGAGTTCCATAAATTATACCTATTATAATTTATATGTGTGTTCTGTTTGATATTTTAATATTCATGAAAGTACCCCCTTTGGTCGACATGTTACAAAGGGAATATGAATCTGATTGAAATAACTTTATATATAATATATATATATATATATATATATATATATATATATATATATATATATAATTAAAATTTAAATGACATTCGGACAAATAACTCTACCCTAAGCCCACATCTAAACAAGGAAAAGGAAATAAAGCGAATTATTAGTCCTAAGTCCTTTAAATCTTATATATATTATATATATATATATATATATATATATATATATATATATATATATATATATATATATATATGATTTTGGCAAAATATAAGTTTAAAAGAGTTTTTTTTAAACATTTAAAAGAGTTTGACAATATTTAAAATAGTTTCAGTAATTTAAAAGTCGGTTTAGAAATATTTAGAAATCATTTAACTATAAACACAATATTCTTGTGTTAGACTTGTATCCCCCCCCCCCTTAAAACAGTGAAAAATAGTAAAAATACAGGGGTATGAACTCACCTTTTGTGAGATTCCGGTTGAAGATACGGTGTAGTTGCGTTAAATCCACAAGTTAGAACTCGTGATAAAAACCGACTCTTAATTTATATTAACATCAAATTAAGTATAAATTAGATAAACTAGTAATGTTTAAAGTGTTAAACAACACTTAATTATTGTAAGAAAACTTACAATAATCTTTAGGATAGTGTGTTCGTGTTCTTGGCGTTCTTCATGTTCTTCGCGAATACTAGTGATTTTTTGGTGTTTTCAGCCCAAAATATGAAGATTGAAAGGTGTTTTTGGAATGATAACAAGATCAATGAATGATACTTGCAAGATCTTCAAGAATAATCAAGGGTTTTTCGCATGGAAATCAAAGAAATGAGAGGTTTCGC